TCTACTCATCTAGTTGTAAGCAGCACTGCAGTTTGAGTGAATGAAGCAATCAACCATGGACTGTTTCACCATAAAGCCAACTGCCACATGTACTCACTTGTCCCTTGCATATTATATAAAGAAGGTCATATGGATTGGATTAACACTTTACTTGTGTCTTCACAGGACTGCACCCTTGTTACTCAGAACCACACAATGTAGACTCTCCAAAGATTAGAATATACACACGTATGGATATACTTCTGTCATACCACACTTCGTAATGAAGCAGGGATATGGAACATATGTATTGTCAGGAGATGGTTACATTCTCAGGATGCTTTGTGCACACATTGTCCCAATCTGCATCTAGCATTTGCTCAGCTGTTTTACCAAACCCACACTGGAACAGAAAAAGATGTGGCTCAAAACCACATTCAAATACCCTGGGCCAACGCCGTATTGACTGCAGAGTCACCCCTGAATGGCCATAAAATGACCATAAATCTATGCAGACGGTTCCATAAAACCGAGAGATCAAATGAAGTGAAAGCGGCATGCAGTCTGGACACTGCCATAAAATCCAATAATCAATCAAAGTGAAAGCAGCATGCAATGCAGAAGGGAATTTCTGTTCCAACATGGGTTTGGTAAAATAGTAGATGCAGATCGGGCCATTTTCTGATGTGAGACATTCTGTAATATTATGTCATCTCTTAGCATTAGATTTTGAACCAGAGTTCAGTTTTAATCCCAAGAGTTACAATTTTGGATGAGTTTAGGTAGGAAGGAACTAAGAAGGGTCTATGCAACTTTGTGATACAATGCAACATGAAAGGAATGTCCAAAGCCACCAAAAAGGCCAGTTGTTAGATCGCGCTAACAACGGACTCGTAGAGTGATTCAGCAAGTGATTCAGCTTTATTAGAAGTAACGAACAAGCACTCAACTCAGTAAGAAACCAGAACAGAAAACAGTGGGAGCTTATGCTCCTTTTAAACATAACCGGGCTAATGTAGCCACGCCTATTTACAAATAACAACCAATGAGATTGCTTGGATAAGGGCCAATGGGAGTCTTTCCCTCCTAGGGAATGGTATCGTTCTGATTGGTCGCTGTTACGAAGCGACCAATAGGAAGTTCGCTCAGAGGAGCCCTGGTCTGGCTCGAAGCTTAACATGGGAGTCCTATGAGGTGATTCATGTAATCATTTCAATACATTACACCAGTCACTTTTCACATTAGTAATTTGGTAGTGCACTTTACGAAGAAGGCAAATTAAACTTCACTTAACAACTGTATCTAGCATGAAATACTCCTAATGGGAAACTGTTTCAATGCACTGTTTCAGTGGTGTGTGGGGGGGTATCTAGTCTTTTAGGAGAATATCTCTGTTCTCTGTGATATGATGTTTTTGCATGGCACATGGAATACAATCATGGCTGAAAACTAACACCTGATTTTCATAGCAGGAAACTTGTGGAATCCCAGCCTGCATATGGAAAGTACTCAGATGCAAATAAGATTGTTTAAACAAACTGTGTTTGGCTTTATTCAAAAGAGGCTAAATGCTTTTGGCAAACTCCACACCAGTTTTGTTTGCTCCTTTGCCTCCTTTGCCAGTGGCAACACATACCTTTCCCCCAATGCAGAAGACATCCTTCTGGAAACATTCTAAGCCTCCCAGAGATGACAGGGCAAGAGTGTGGAGTTTAAAGTCAACAAAGCTCATTACTTAGTTTACTAGGAAAAAGGCCCGTTGTGGAAATAAATACAACGACCTCTAGAAAGAGGCTCTGGGCAGGTGCCCTGGCCTTAGACACTCAGTGTCAATTTGCTGTGGCGACCTCAACAGGGTATAATGACACTGAGAGTCCACCATTTTCTCCAGAGGAACTGATTTCTGCTACCTAAAGAACAGTTGTAATTTTGAGTGATCTCCAGCCCTCACCTGGAGATTGGCAACGATGGTTCCTCAGAAGGGAATAGTTGATTTGGAGGGTGGCGTCTATGGCTTTGTACCTGTCCGAGGTCCCACGCCTCCTGAAACCTCACCCTCTTCAGGCTCCATCCCTCACATCTCCAGGAATTTCCCACCTGAAGTTGGCAACCCTATCTCCTTCCCAGCCAATCATCAACCTACCTTTATTTCCCCCTCACTCTTCAGCTTTCCACCCCCCACACACCTGCAGCCTCTTCCGTGCTCTGAAGCCCTGACTGCTACGTCACATTGACTTTCATACGGGGGCCACCTCAGTAGCGTATAAAGATACAGAGCCCACCATTTTCTCCAGGGGAACTGATCTCTGCCATCTGGAAAGCAGTTGTAATTCTGAGTGATCTCCAGCCCTCACCTGGAGATTGGACTCATTTTACCTCAGAAGAGCTAAACTGGTTAGAATGTTAGAGGCAAAAGCCAATCAAGTCGCATATGCAAACGACCCAAGGCAGAGGCCAATGAGGCTGCATATGCAAATAACCTCTGTGTTCTGACTGGCTATGGGGGGGGGAGGAACTGCAAAATGTTTAGAATGTTGGAGGCAGGACTCAGGCAAAGCAGCCAGTGGATAGGGAGACCCTCTGAATGACAGATCAGAGAGCGAACTGATTTTGGAGCGTGTGGAATGTTCTAGAGAAGTGCCACTACCATTCGGCTTTTATTTATAAGGGAGATTATTCTATTTTAACTACCATGGGGCATCAAGAGGCCCCTCCGACCCAAGTCCCAGCATATCTTGGCCCGTCTCTGGTTCTGGCTCATTTTGATGCAGGACACCCTTTTGTACACCATTAATGCCTCTGTGCACTTCTATCTTTTTAGCTGTGGTGGAACCAAAAGCTATTCACAGTTGCTGCAGGCTACTGAATATCCTTTTGTATCTGCTGAGAGCACAAAACTAAAGTAGGGAATTCCAGAGGAGAAATGTACAGACAGAACCATAACCCCATTCCCACAGCAGTGTGAGTCAATAAGGGCATGAAAAGTCTATTTGATACCATTTTAGTTGCTGTGGCTTTGCTCCAAATGTCCTCGATATTGTAGACTGGTGAGTTACTGAGAAGTCAGATATCAACTAATTGCCACCCAGAATACTGGTGCCTTGGATTCCCTGGAAGAAACCTAGGGACTGTTAAAGCAGCTTAAGTCACACACCTAGAGCTCTATGGGTATTTTATTTCATTTATAGTTACAGTCTTTCACTGTCCCAATATTAATCTTTACTCATTTCTTGTTGAGGTGGGCTTTATCATCCTGGAATCGCTGACTCAGGGTTTTTTCCTGCAGAAAAGATGAATTTGCATAATGCATCCATGCACCCATGCTTCCATACACAACCCAGTAAAGTTCATGTGGATTGCATGGAGGGACAAGGTGGCAGGAACCGTGAGATGGGTTTGCCAAGTAACTGGGCTCCCGATCCTTGAAGCAGCCAGATTTGGTTTCTGCTAAAATAAATGAGCTGATGAAATTATCAGCATTTCTAGGCCAATAAACACAGTGGTGCAAACTCACTTTAAAACAGAAGCCTCCAGTAACACAATGGCCAGCCCAAAAGACAACATGAGATTTCTTTCGAGCCCCATGGATGTGGTGGTGAGGGGCCCAGGAAAAGAGTATGAAATACTGATGGATTGTAGAGTTCAGTGCAAAAACTACTGATCTGGATATGCCCAAAGATGCCTCCCACTTGATACTGAATCACAACTATGACCTTTTCCATGCAGGTTATTTGCCCTGGATTTGTTGCTGTTCTGAAGCAGATTTTTCTCCCTACTTCCCCACAGCAGCATGGTGCCTTTGTGTAGCTCCCAAGGTTTCCCTGGCTTCACTTTGTTGTGAAGATTTGGGAAAGATCACGACAAAGCCCAGAAGGCTGCTGTGTGAGCAGAGTCTTCCCTAAGGCTGCCAGCTAGGGTGGCCAACCTCCAGGTGGGGGCTGGAGATCTCCTGGAATTACAACTGATCTCCAGACTAATCACCCATTTATTATTAATGTATCTAAAACATGTATTCCACCTCTCCTGGAGAAAATGGCTGCTCCGGAAAGTGGACTGCCTGGCACTATACCCTGCCAAGGCCCCTGCCCTCCTAAGCCCCACTCTCCCAGGCCCCATCCTCAGATCTCCAGATGCTTTTGAACCAGGACTTGGTAACCCTAGGCCAGCTTTCACATGAGGTGTGGAGATCTCCCGGAATTAAATCTGATCTCCAGACTAAAGAGATTAGTTCCCCTGGAGAAAATGATTGGGGTTTTTTTTGGGGGGGGGACTGTATGGCATTATACCTTGCTGAGGTAACCTCCCCTCCCCAAACATTGCCCTTTCCAGGCTCCACCCACAAGTCCCCAGGAATTCCCCAACCTGAAGCTTGACAACCCTAATATCCCTGGTCCTGCTGACATGGCAGCCATTTTCCCCATCCCTGCAGTGCCTATTGCCCCACCCCCTTCATGGAAGGTTGGGTTCCCAGACTGCCCAGTGCAGGTGGGGGGTCTCCTGCTTTGGGGTGCTCCTCTCCCCCTCAAATTACCTCCTCTTACCGGCAGGAACCTGGAAATCATCGCAACATGCCTACAAAAGCCATACAGGCACATTGGGGACGTCATGGGGCGACGCTCTGGTTTTTGGGCAAATCTCTATGATTTGAAGTGAATTCTATCATAGAGTTCTGTCCAAAAACCAGTGCCTTGTTTGTGTGTGCATGCACATGTGCACTGTGTGCCTGTTCTTAGCTTGGAAAGACAGGGATCAGTACCAAAAAGACCATTCTGAAAATGAGTTTTGAAATTCTTTTAACCCTTTTGAAATACTTTATGAATCAGCTGGTGAGGCTAAGAGGAAAGAAGCAGAAGCATTCATGGGGAAGTTGAAAACAGGAAGCCCTGGCTTGTGGGTTTCTGCAGAGCTTAACTGAGTAGTCTGTTGATCGACTGACAGCCCATCCTACAATCTCTGGACCTTTGCTTTAGCAGAGCTCACTGGTTTGTTTGGGAAGCTGAAAATTTGCCATGCAGATCAGTTTCTCCTCATCCGTCTTTTAGAGCCATCCCAGTGTTTTTTCTAGCTTATAAAACATGTTGGGTTCCTGAAGGAGCAGAGAACACCATGTGAGGAGGCCCAGAGGGCCTGAGGGCAGCAAGGAGGCAGCCAAGAACAAGAGACTCCCGATCCAGGGGCAAGACTGGTGTGCCAAAATGTCAGTGCTCAGCCCTATACTGACTCCCCCTGAGGTGAAGGAATACCTGACCAAGGGAGAACGCTTTATCAAGTGGGATGATGTGAGTATCGTGGCTTTCACTGTAATGGCATGTTACAGTGAACTTAATTTGGGGGTTCCTGGAGGAAAGAAAAAGAGGACTGTTCTTTCAAAGTATGTGTATGAAGACACGTTTTCCTCAGTGTTTGTGGACAACACAGGAATGTTTGTATATATAGCCAAACTAAGGCTGGAAGGTAGGAAAGAGGGAGCAAAGTTCAATGAATATTTGTGATAGGCCTACAGATTGGTTCATGCAATATTTTAATTGTGTTTATGAGCAGTTACAAGTGTTTCTGAAAAGCACTCCTGTGGCCAAGCAATAATAATATTTTTGAATAATCTTAGTGATCTCCCTTGCAAACATGTATAACCTGGGCCAATGTTACGATCCCCAAGTATGTGGTAAAGCAGCAAGGGGGTGAAGTTGAGATAATGGGGTGCCTGAGCTAACCTGTCAAGTTCACATCTGAGGTAGTATTGATGATTACATCCTTGATTGCCTAGTTCTCACATTACATTTGTTCTCTTAAGTATATGTCCAAAGATGGCTAGAACTGCTTGCATGTACAAAAACTGTGTGAACCATCTCTTAAAGTGCAGAAACTCATGTACATATGGAAGGTTGGAGTCACTGGGTTACAAGAGTATAAGTATAAGAATGTGTTATGTGACTGTGGGAAGCTTCTGCTCCCCAAAACAGAAAATACGCCTTTGGTTCTGTATGAGGCACTCTAGGGAAGAGGGCTGTGGGGCCAGAGAACATGTACAGAACTGTGGCAAGGGGGTGAGAGTGCGAAAACTATCAGACTATGAATGACTTCCTTTTCTTATCTTCTTGCTGGAGGTGTGGAGATGGGGGGGGGAGTCTAGTGGCAAACCTATTAGGGAGCAGTTTCTTATACTTAGTTCCTGTTAAGATGAAGATAAGAGCACACTGTGAATTTTTTCAGTTCCACCATCTTTCTGCCTGATCTATTCATATTGAACCAACTGCAGAGCACATTTAAGCCCATTCAGGTCTCTGGATATACAAAAATGCATAGCTTTTATGAGTTATCTACGGAGGAATCTTTTTAAAAGTATAGAATCCTAAGCCTGAATCTGCATATCCCCACATTTCCTGGCATTCTTGAAAGATGCAAAGCTGAAGTAGATCTCATTAATATTACTCTTAGAATCAAATAAATACCTTCAGCAAGTCACAGTTCTATCACCCCCTCTCTCAGCCCCACCTACCTCACAGGACGCCTGTTGTTGGGAGAGGAAGGGAAAGGCAATTGTAAGCCACTTTGAGAGGGTACAGAAAAGCAGAGTACAAAACCAACTCTTTTTCTTCTACCTTGTTACTTAAATTGATGTTAGCACAAATTATTGGCAAATACGTGATGTTCTCACTATTTCTTACTGGAACAAATTACATTTCAGTTCTCAGGACATGACCACTCCTTTTATGTAGAATTGTCACTAAATTCTGCTCCAAGTGGAACTCAGTGTTGACACTGATGAAACAAATCAAGCCCAGCATGGCTCCACAGGCTCAAGGCTGCAGGAGGTCCTACCATGGGTGCAGGGAGGCACTGTGCTGTTGTCCAGTGACATGCTGTAATGTTGTCACCAGGCCACATCAACATAAAAGGCAATTATACATGGACAATTAAGCCTTGTGTGATTTGTAGATTTTGCTAGACTGCAAGAACCCCTTCATATGTCCAGAGTCCTTAAGTGTGGTGCATAAGTCAATGACAGTATCATCCTATGTTACTATGTGATGCCTTGGAGGCTTCAGTGCATGTGTGGCAAGATCTATCATGGCCTGGCATATAGGAATGAGCAGAAAAAGGGAAAATACAGTTTGTTTCAATTCATGGTTCGTGGTGTGTGAGCTTTGTGAGCCACGAACTGTCATCAGTATTTTAGTGCCAAACAAACTGGTTTGGTTTGTGAGGTTTGTGATGTGGTAGAATGCTCCCCTGGCATGCCAAGAACATTGAATTCTCAGGGGATCTCTGGCTAACTGCCCTCCAAGTTTGGTGAGGATTAGATTCACGGGCTCCAAGTTATAGCCCCCCTGAAGAAGGTGCCCCCAGGAAAGTATTTTTGGGGAAATGACAGGTGCAGGTTCAGGATGTTCAGGAGGGTATAGAATGGACCCTGGTCAAGCTAGAGATATCAGTCTCACAAGGGACCTCCCTCTGATGCTCCTCTACATGCCCTCCAAGTTATGTGCAGATTGGATTTAGGGGGTCCAAGTTATGCCCCCCCCCAAAGAAGAGGCCCTCAAGAAAGTTATTTTGGGGTAAATGTCAGGTGCAGGTTCGGAAGTGTATAGAATGAACCCCCTGCAAGCAACACACACCAAACACACAGGCTGGAGAATTCCCCACCCCATTTCTTTGAAGTTTGGTAAACATTGATTGAATGGAAACAGTCTGTTTGGAAATGTATCCATTCACAAACCACCAGGAACCCCTTGAAAGTTCGTGGAAGGTTTGTGCCAGTTGACCTGCCATGAACTTCAGTTAGTGAACCACGAACCAACCAGAATTCATTGTGAGCAGGTTTTTGCCCATCCCTACTGGCACATCAGCAGCTGTATTATGTCCTGCTGCACATGTGCAGAGACTTCCAAATAATCATGTGACAATGTGGGTCAGTGACACTGTCGATTCACCTACCAGTTATATTGGATGTTCTAATTGTATTGAGATCTCTCTTTCCATCTCACTGAGATTAGACTTGGACTTTAGCATCTCTGAAAATAGGTGAATTAGAAATCTAATAAAAGAGAAAGCCTTGTCTTTACAGCATTACTGCCATTTTGACATCAGTTTGCACAATAGAACACAGCCTTTCAAATCATGCTGGATCTTTGCTATAATTCTGTCTGGTGGTGGAAGAGCATGTATGTCTCAGTTCCTGTTGAAAACAGCACTAATTCTGATCTTTTGGAGAAGTAGCTGGAACTGCTGAAGTCACACGAGTGTGTTTTGTTTAGTGTCAGAAAGCACTCCTCACTAAGAAAGTCAGTCTACATTAAACTGATCCATATCTATGTAAAAGACTGATATTCTGCCTTTGCATGACAGTTTCAGTCCATGAAACCTCTAGTAAAAAGAAAGAGAAAGCCTTGTCTTTACAGCATTACTGCCATTTTGACATCAGTTTGCACAATAGAACACAGCCTTTCAAATCATGCTGGATCTTTGCTATAATTCTGTCTGGTGGTGGAAGAGCATGTATGTCTCAGTTCCTGTTGAAAACAGCACTAATTCTGATCTTTTGGAGAAGTAGCTGGAACTGCTGAAGTCACACGAATGTGTTTTGTTTAGTGTCAGAAAGCACTCCTGACTAAGAAAGTCAGTCTACATTAAACCGATGTAAAAGACTGATATCCTGCCTTTGCATGACAGTGTCAGTCCATGACACCTCTAATAAAAAAATCTCAGTGTTAGGAAAGACCTTTCTCGGCCTGAGATTCTGGAGACTTGCAGCTAGTCCAAGTAGAGTATACTGAGCTAGAAGGACTGGAGCCCTGATTCAGTATAAATGAATGCCTTATATTCATAAGCGGCTTAAGAGAAATACTGACAACATGATACCAAAGCTCCTTGCCTATTCTCTGCTGTTGCTGCTGTCCTTATAGACTGAGGGCCACAGTGTCCCCAGAGAAAATAGTCCCTCCAGGATATGTTCTCCCACATAGTATCAGTTTTGCCTCTAATGAGTGGCACTTTTCTTAAGGAAAGCAAAAGAAGCAAACGGATATATTCAGAAGATTTTAACTGTAATATTTCTTTCCCCCCCCTCCCTGGGGGCCTTCAGAAAAGATCATTTCACCTGAATTCTCAGGTTGAAGGGTTTTGACTTTAAACTGCACTACAAGCCTCTTGAGAGTAAGCTGATGTTGCCAGTTTTAGGACTGTGAAGTAGCCAGGTTTCCTTTTTTCTAAAATAAACTAGTGGGTGATAGATGGGAAGATGTTGGGGCAAATAAATTCATGGTCATAATGGCAGAAATCGAACATATCTTTTGTTTTTCAAGAAGAACATTCTTACAATGAAAGAGATGGAGCAGAACAATGGACAGAACCAGATTCCCCTTCCCTGACCAGTTGCAGGACCTTTGTGCCTTTTTAATGAGAGGCAGATTGCACTTCATAAATGTCTATGGACAGAAGTAGGCTCATAGATTTATAGGATGGGAAGAAATTTTAAAGGCCCTCCAGTCCAATTTGTGGATTAAGGGGAAGTTCATCTTCCCCTGGCTTGCACTGATAAATGAAAGTTTCTGATCCATTTTCCTTTCAGGACACCACAAATGCTTCTCCTGTGATTCTACGGGTTGATCCAAAGGGTTTTTATCTATACTGGACCTTCCAGAGTAAGGTAAGTCCTGATCCTTAGTGTCTAACTGAAGATGCTGACATCAAAAACGCCTGCTCATGAGATATTTGAGCATCCATAGGGAGCAATCCTAAGATGGTCTACTCAGAAGTAAGTTCAATTTTATTCACTGGGCCTTAGTCCCAGGAAAGTGTTCTCTGGATTGCAGCCATAAAGTTACCATATACTGAATTGGACAATTTAGCCCAGTACTATCTACAGTAATTGCCAGCAGGTGTTAGGAACACACATAATGAGACCCTGACAGCCCCTTTGTCCTGAGAAGAAGATGCTTCAGGAGGGACTCATGGTCATTGGAGGGTGGTGCGGGAGGGGAAAGAAGTTCCCACTGGTTGCTGTTGTGTTCCAAATTGCCCTCTAGACTGTTCTCCCTACTGTATGGTTCTAAGCTTGTTTTTGACTGTATTTTGAATCCCACAGAGCAGCAAGTAGCTGGGTATTTGTAGGAAAATGGAACAGTGGGCCTCTTCACTTTAACCTCTGCTCAGGATTGTTCTCGTAACAAAGCTTTCCTAGCCTTGCTACTTCAGACCCTTTTTGTTGGAGGTAGCAGGGGTTGAATCCGGGGACTAGCGTGTGCAGTGTGCAGCGTCCTCTCCCAAGCTGGAATGTTATTAGTTATTCTGTGACAGACTGACATGTGCATTTGGGGAATTCTGGAGGGAAGCAGTGAGTCAAATGAGATGGGGAACTGTCTGTATCTGAGTTTGTATGAGCGCTTTCGTCTCTCATGCAATAACATTCTGAAATATTTTAGTAGTTAATTTTTAAGGCCAGACTGAATAGCCGTACTTTGTTTCTGCTCCAGCCAATCCATTATGTACTTTTCCTGGGCAAAATTGCAGAGCAATTCCCATTTTTTTTGGCCTCTGATTGAAGCACATTCTTTTTGTTTTGGCCTTCCTGGATAAATTCCTGGCCTTCCTGGATAAATTATCTGTCTAACATCCCTTTGAGTCTGGTTTCAGACCAGGCTATGGGATGGAGACAGCACGAGTGACACTAGTGAATGACTCCATCTAAATGCAGACAAAAGCTATGCCTCTCTGCTGCTTTTACTAGACTTATTGGCAGCCTTTGATACAGTGAACCATATTGAGGAGTTTGGAGGTAGAAGTAGGGATTAAAGGATGTGTTTTGGATTGGTTTTAGTCAATCATTATGAGCAGGGCTCAGGGCTCAGGGTAAACAAGCTGAAACTGAATCCTGACAAGATAAAAGTAATCTTGACCAGGAAGGCCAAGGCCCTGAAGAACATGGGGCCTCCCACTTCTGAGGTTGCCTAATTGTCTCTCACTGACTTCGTTATGAGGCTAGTATCCTGTTTCCAGCTTTACTGCAGGACACAGCTGCAAAAGGGTGTTCTACCAAAACCACTTAGCTTGGAAGATGGCCCTCTACCTTGATTTAGCTGACTTGGCCACAAATATGCTACAGTTACCTTGAGGCCAGACTACTGTAATGTATAGGGATGGGCATGAACCAGCTCATGAACTATAAAGTTCATGATGAATTTTGACTGGTTCGTGAATTGTGGTTCACGATGTGAAGTTCATTGCAGGTCAAATGGCATGAACTTTCCATGAACTTTCAAGCTGTTCATGGACGTTCATTCTGGTTTGTGAATGGATACATTTCCAAACAGACTATCTCCGCTCAGTCTAAATGTTTACCTAATTACAAAGCAACAACATGGAGGGCATGTAGAAGAGCACCTGTGGGGAGGTGTCCTGTAAATCTGATATCTCTAGCTTGCACAGGATCTGTTCTATACACTCCTCTAACCTGTTTGCCTCACACACCCCGGTTGGAGCGAAGCCTCTTGCTCTCCCCCACAAACTGAGAGGGAGACTCAGGGGCTCTGAGTCCCTAATAAGAGGGTAGCAAACCCAGGAAAGGCAGACTGTGACGAAGCAACTCCACACACGTCTACCCTCGTTGAGCTCCGACGGCCTTAAAGAAAGAGATCTCTGGCTGACTCTCCTCTACCTGCCATCCAAGTGTGGTGAAGATTGGATTTATGGGGTCTGAGTTACTGCTCCCCCAAAGAAGATGCCCCAGGAAAGTGTTTTCTGGGGAAATGACCGCCTATGGTGGCTTTCATATTATGGAATGGTTTGTCTGAGGCTACTGGGAAGGCCCCCATGTGTCAATCATTTCACAAAATGTGCAAAATAGAATTGTACAGAATGTAGGGCCATAGTATAATGGATAAGCTCAAGAGATTGCCTCTATTAGGGATAGTGTGTTTTTTTCCTTCCACTTCTTCAGTCCCAGCCCCACTGCATTACAGTGTTTTACCAGGAATCTTTGCTGTTAAAGACTCAAATGTTATATTTTGTCATCTGCTTGTGGATTGACTTAATAGCTTTCTTTTCCTAGGAATCTTTGCTGTTAGACTGTGATCACACACACTAAATAATTCACTTTCAATCCACTTTCAATGTGCTTTCCAACTGGATTTTACTGTCTGAACTGGCAAAATCCAGTTTGAAAGTGGATTATTTAGTGTGTGTAATCGCAGCCTTAGATTCAAATGTTACCATAATTATTGGATTACTGGTTGACTGAATAATTCTTCTGTGAACTGTGGCTGTGGAAAGAGCCATCAAGTCACAGCTGATTTATGGTGCCCCATATAGTGTTTTCAAGGCAAGAGACAGAGGTGGTCTGCCATTGCTTGCCTCTGCATAGCAACTATGCAGTGGCCTACCTAGCCTATCTGGCACCCTGGGCAGATAATTTTTTAACACCTCCCCCCCCATTTTTTTGCCATCAAGCGGAGTCTCTGGTGACAGGAGTCCCACCTGGACAGGACAGCCTGATCCCTCTCATCAGATCTCAGAAGCTAAGCAGGGCCGACTTGGAGGCAGGCAATAGCAGACCACGTCCGAATGTCTCTTGCCTTAAAAACCCAACAGGGTCGCCATAAGTCAACTGTGACTTTACGGCCAAAAAAACCCCCAAAACCTCCCTCACACCACTGGTGTTCTGAGCAGGGGCTTGGGAAGGCTTCGGTTCTCTATTTTGAAGCCCAAGAGCTGACCATCCCAAACATCTACAAGGCATTTTTAAGAGCTGGGAGTCTGCCTTTGTACTTCCTTTTACTAACTAATACTAGCCAAAGCATCACAAAATAGTGATTGCAAACTTCACCAGACTGGATGTTAAGAAACACACCACCCCC